AGAGAGAAGAAAGCCCACTTCCCAGGCATTGATGTGGTAATGGCCTCCAGAACACTGGAGTGTGGCTCTGTCAGTGACGCACTGATTGCTATCTGAAAGCCAGTCTTCTGGGTTATGAATGAAGGCTATTTTGTTCTTCTTCAGTTCATAAATTAGTGCGTCTGAGTAGCCAGTGCCTGTGAACGAGAGAGCAGCTTAAGTGGTGAGAAAGCAGGGTGTTCTCAGGCTCTGGCTGTGGGCAGTGGCTGTGGGTGAGTGGCTTCTGCTTTCACAGCAAACTCAGCTCAGAAGGGAGTGGGGGTAAAATTGGCATTTGTATCCAAGGGAGGGGGTTTTGCCACATTACTGTGCCCCTGCGAGACCCCACCTAGAGCACTGTGTCCAGCTCTGAGGTCCTCAGTAGCAAAGGCATAAATCTGCTGGAGCAAGTCCAGAGGAGGCCACAGAGATGCTTCAAGGGCTGGCACAGAGAAGCTGTGGCTGCCTCATTCCTGGAAGTGTCCAAGGCCAGGTTGGACAGGGCTTGGAGCAACCTGGGCTAGTGGAAGATGTCCCTGCACATGGCAGGGGTGGAATGAGATGATCCTTAAGGTCCCTTCCCACCTAAACCATTCTGTGATTCTGTGATCTATTCAGCATCTCCAGAAGCCAGAATCCCCCCCCTCTCTGGGAACAGGCTGTGACCTGGTCTAGGCTGGCGCTGAGGGTACCAACTCCCATCTCATGCATCAAGGAGTTTCCTTCAATGACATCTGATGTCCAACGACACTGCAGCATCTCCCCATGCAGCACAAATGAGGGTAACTTCAAAACAGTTATGAGCACAGACACAACGAAATAGCAATGACAGAAGCACAGTAGGATGCTCAGGGAATCTTCAAGCACAGGTGTCTGTTCAGTACCTGCTGCACCACAGGGAACTGAGCAGTGCTGTCTGTGCCCTTCACTGCTGACAGGGGCTTTGTCCATTACAAGTCCAGGTTTCTTTTTCCCCTTTTAAAGTTGCTGACTCTAAAATCTTCTCCTTGACATTTTCTCTACACTAGTAGGAGGGAGTTTTTTGTTGATTCTGGAACCACTTGAAAACAGGGGAAATTGGCCAAGACATTCAAAAGTTAAATTAAAATCTGACTCTGCAAATAGCCAGTGTCAGTGGTGTGAATAATGTCCCTCTCCAGGAAGAGATGTTGAGGGAAAGGGGAGAATTGGATCAGAGTGAAACACGGCTGAACACAGACAGATAAAAAAATCTAGGGTTGGATAGGGTGACTTCTAAAGGAGATACTGAATATTTGGATTCAAAATTTTTGGTACCAAAGGAGGAATTGTTAATGGGTTAAGGTCAGGACATTCCTGAGCTTGCCCTGCGTGTTTGGTGTGAGCTTTGTGAAGCCCTGGCAGTGAGAACAGGATTTACGGGTAGGAAATCTGCAGCCATTGCTTTGGAAAGCTTTAATCATGGGTTATTGTTGTGTCAGGGGTTTCTGTGTGCACCTATGGATTAAAGAATGTATGATATGTCTAGAATTCCGAGAGGGATGTAAACAAGCCTCATGTTCTATAGAATCTTTTCCTGCTCGGAGGTGTCGCTGATGTTGATCAGAACACTGTGCCAGTTTCCTCTTGAGAAGTGTTCATTTACTGACAGCAAAGCACATGAAATGTCATCCCTGGTAAAACATTGCTCTCTGCATCTGTGCCCACATCTTCTGGGGCCAAACTTTCCACATTCTTGCCTCTTGCAGAGCTGTTGCGGTGGAAGCCTTTCCCCTTTAGAGCAATGTTGGGTTTTTTTCAGTAAAAAGACAAACAAAGCTATTTTCTGTTTCAGAATGCAAGATGGGATATCTCTGGAGAGATTAACCTTCTTTACAGAGTTGTTTTTTGTGGTTGAAAAAAAAATCTGTTATCATTAAAATAATAAAAAAAAATCTACACCTCATTATTTCCAGAAATAAAGCTGCCATGATTAGATTTATTAAGAATTGACTTGGGGTGAACTGAAGAGAGCTCCAACCCCAAAGAGTCTGTGTTTTAGAAAAAAGGCAGGAAGACAATAGGATGGACACAGGGGAAGCAAGAAGAGGGAATTGCTCTGTGATGTTAATAAGAAAATATGTTCTTTTTGGGAAGGACTCTGAGAAGTGGCTTGGCAGACACAGCAGGAGGGGTTACTCAGCCCCTCTCCATGTGTTCAGTGCTTGCCTGAGCTCAGTCACAGGAGGTGGAGATGGGAGAGATGCACAAAAGTCAGGACTGGCATGACCAGGGGAAGAATTCAGGAGGAAATGTAGAAGGCAAGAAGCGTGAGCAGGAGAGCTTGTCCTGTCCTTTCCTGCCCTGCCCCTTCCCTAGCTTCCCTCCTGTGCTTGAGCCCCTGGTGAGCTGCTGGACCCCTATCCCACTGCCCCTGACTCCTGCTGTGCCCCAACCTCTTGGGAACAGCAGTAAAACTATTCCTCCACATATCCATGGGAAGAGCTGTGGTTTGGCATTTGACAGAGTCTCGGGGGTGCAGATGTAGTGCTGAGGCAGCAGTTTTTGTGAGCAGCCTGGTGCTACCTGGGGTTCCGGATTCCTCCAAAGTGTTCTCAGGAGCCTCTGCCCCCACCTGCACCTCCGGAGGGGGGGTCATTCCTTTTTTTCTTCTTGGCTTTCTTTTTCCCTTCCCTTTTACCTTGGGGCCATCAACAGATCTGTTTCCTGATCTCTGTGTCTGCTTTGAAGACAACTTCTCACCTTTTAGTTGCTGAAGGAATGTGAGGAATGAGGCCCCATGGCCCCAACCTCCCACCCAGCTGGGAGGTGTTCCTACATGCCGGGGACAAGGAGTAAGGTGCTGCCATCCCTGGGAGCAGGCTCAGTGCCTGGGAGCAGGCTCAGACCCTTGGGCACTGCTGGTGGGCAGCAAAGGAGAGATGGCAGCAACATGTGCAGGGTAGAGATGGACTTTCAGTGCAGATCTGAGCATTTCAGTCCTCTGAAAATACTTGTTGGTAGTGCCAGCAGGGATCCAGTCCTAGAGCTAGAGGTCCTGAGCCCCCGTGTAGATTTTCAGCTTGTTTTAGCAGTTTTGTAGGCAATATTAACTTCTAAGGCAGATGCATGAGTAAATCAGAGAGGAGCAAGTTGCCAACCTGGTTGTGATGGCTCTGGGATATTTGCAGGCACATGTAGGGGACAAGGGGTGCTCCCACCCCCATGGAGCTGCTGTGACTGTTGGCGTCACTGTGTTTGTATTTCCTCTTACAACTGCACCTGCCCAGAGGTGGACAAGTCAGAAGAGCTCTGGTGCATCCAGCTGTCACCGTGAGGGCTGTCACAGTCCCTGTGTGACAGTCACAGTCACAGGGGCTGTCACAGTCCCTGCCCTGCCCCTCGCCCATACCGGGGTGGGCAGCCTGCCATGCTCCAGCCACGCTGGCTCACAGCTGGGATTTGGACTTAAACCACTGGCAGCATGAGTCTGTGCTGGTGCCCCCAGGCTCTGCAGTGTGCCAAGGCATGCGTTCACTTCCTCTAGAGAACAGATGGGAGCAGGGAACGTCCTAAACTTCCCTCCCTGTTTGCAGGTCCAAACACAGTGACACCTGAGAGTGTGTTTGTCCCTATGGCTGGAGCAATGATCCAGTTGTCACATCCCCAGAGGCCTCGAACAGACACAAAGGGAGGAATTTCTTCACCCAACCCTGGTTCATCCCAGCTGGAGAGACTGCTCTGGGTTCCTCTCACTGTCAGTGGGGATGAAGGAGGACTTTCAGAGCACATTTCATGCAGCCTGTGTCCAGTGCAGGGTGACACTACTCTCCCCCTGGGCCCCACCCTGCCCGGAGGAGGGACCTGGTGCCCCTGTTTCACAGCAGTGGGTGCAGGGGAGCTGTAGGCTGACATCAGCCTTTCCCTGGCTGTGAACACCAAAGCTGTCCCTCAGGAAAGCTTTGCTGATGTGCCTTCCCTGTCACCCGTGGGAGACTGGCAATCCTAATTATCCGTGCAAATACTTCCAAGAACAGATGAGGCCCCACTCCACTGTCTGCCCTGAGCGACACTAAGCCATGCTACGAAGATGCTCCAGGGCCTGGAGCCTCTCTGCTCTGGAGACAGGCTGAGGGAACCGGGGGTATTTACCTGGAGAAGGGAAGGCACCAGGAATATCTCAGTGTGGCCTTTCAGTACTTAGAGAGGGCTTATAAGAACAATGGGGACAGAGTTTTTAGCAGGGCCTGTTGCAGTAGGACCAGGGGTGATGGTTTTAAACCATCCATAAGGATGAACTTTTTAGGCCCTGGCACAGGTTGCCCAGAGAAGCTGTGGCTGCCCCATTCGTGGAAGTGTCCAAGGCCAGGCTGAATGGGCCTCTGAGTGCTCTGGTCTAGTGGAAGGTGCCCCTGCCCATGGCAGGGGGTGGGACTAGATGACCTTGAAAAGTCACTGCCAATCCAGCCTGTTCTGTGATTCTATTATTCTATTGCCTCTCACAGGCCATCAAGTCACAGCATCACTTTGGACCTATGTACAGGTGCAACATGGGATTAAAACAATCTAAACTCTTACCCCTCCATAATTATCTGTTTAATTGCAGACACCTTTGCTCTCTTGTTAGTGGCTGGTTCTGATTTTGCTTAATGTAATCAATGTCTAAGTAAATAATATACAGGTCACCAGTCAGGCTCAGTGGTGATGGTGTAGCCTTGTTTCTCTGTGATGTACCTGCAAAGTGGCTTTCCCTGGACAAACAGCCATGCTGGCAAGGGGACACAAGTATCCCAACGAGCTCGCAGTTCAAGTGTGTGCTCTTCATCTCCTGACAGAGAAGTGCAGCACTCACTGGAAAACCACTCCTGTGGTGGGATGAGCCCTGCTCTGGCAGTGGGGTGGCTCCTGCTCCTCCCTGCCCTCGGCCAGGACCCCCGCAGGACACTGCATCCAGAGAGGGGGGGAGAGACAGCCATAATGGGAATTGCACTGACAGTGTTCCTTCCCTCTGCTTCCCCTCTCAGAGCACAGCTGGGGACAGTCGCTGTCTCCAAGGGCACCTGGTGCAGCTGCTGCTCCGGCACTGCCCCGGGCGCGCGGCGCGGTGGGCGCGGCACTGGGGGCTGCCCATGGACGTGCTGCCTCCCGGCCTGGCTGAGGAGCTGCCAGAGCTTCACACCCAACAGAGGTAAAGACCCTTTTCAGTGTGCATTACTTGTATATTTATTTGCTTAAAATCATCTACCATAATGCTTCCTTGGGAAGACAATTTTGCAAAGGCTTCCTCCATGTACTCAGATCCATCATGGCCCTGTACACACTGCATTTGTTTGTCATAAGCCTGGAAATGTCTGTGAAAGGAGCATTTTAAACTCATCCTGAGTTTATCACAGAAGCTCTGTGAGATTGCTTCATGCTGCAGAGGGTTCTTAAGTTTCCTCTGCCAGATCAACAGTGCAAATGAAATCATGTGACTAGGACCTGAATATGCATCTATTTTACTGAGGTTATTACACATCTGTCAAAGTTTTCCATATGCTCTGCACCCCCACTGGACTGTAAGCTGGTTTAATGCCTTTCAGGAGGCTTATGACCAAGAAACTAATTGTAAAGTTCCTTAGATTTTTTAATTGTATTTATTTTCTTCCTTCTTTTCCAGCTCATAAGCCAGTTTTTTTCCCAGTCCGTAATGTTGGCCTCATCCAAAGAAGTATTGAGAATTTTTGACATTTGGGGTCAGATAACAGAAGAGACACATTAATTGAATAAGTGAGCTTAAGAAGCTTTTAGCCCCCTCATTAGTCTCTGTTCTCTTTTCTTCCTCTGCTGCAATCCCAATAACCCAGTGCCATATTCCACTCCTGCTTTGGGACCCCCATGTTGTGTGCACCAGATGAACCTGCAGTAGCCACAGTTCCTCCCCCAACAGGAGCTCCATTCTCAAAAGAATTGAAAAATCCTTATATTAAGAAGGATTCTTACAACTCCTTGATTTCAGGTGCTCAGAACTGTGCAAACAGCCCCAGTCAAGGAGCTCTTTAAACCTGCTGGTGTAGAAGGAGCAGAGGGGAAGGATGGAGAGATGAGGGTGGCAGGTTCCACACCGTGTGTAGACAAAGCTGTGCCAAGTTGAGAAGAGGCTCAAAACTCAGGAAGGCCCATATACCCCCTGAAGTGTCAGGAGCTGTCTGATCCCCATGGCAAGCTGGATCTGGAGGAATACCAGGGCTCTGAAGTTCTGGTTCTGAGTATTCTGTGCTGTGTCTCTCTGAGAAAATGTCCCAAGATCATCCTCTTCAGGCAGCAGTGTCCCCATTTAACAGCTGCCCAGCTGTGCTGTACAGAGAGGGACAGAATCTGTGTGAAGAAGTGACTCAATGCGAGTGATCTGCTGAGCCCCAGTTCACTGTTACACTCTGGTGAGCACTGGTGGACCTGCCATGTTTCGGTGACTGCATCCATGAGATGTTCCCAGGGAAACTGTGTCTGCCCCATCCTAGACCAGGCTGGATGGGGCCCTGAGGAACCTGATCTAGTGGAAGGTGTCCCTGTCCGTGGCAATGGGGGTGAAGCTGGATGATGTCTGAGGTCCATTCCAACCCAAACCAGTCTGTGATTCTCTGATTCTGTGTTTAATCAAGTTCTTCAGAGACAGCCATGTTTGCCACCCTTTTTTAACCCTTTTTCTCCTGCAGATATTCAGCCTACTAAAAGTCTTGAGGAACCTGCAGAGCTGGCAGTGGATACTGCATGAGGGTCCTGTTAGGATCTCACCCAGGGCTGCGGAGGAGATCTAGAACCTCAGGCTGGATGAGGCCCATCAACACACAGCCCAGAACTCTGCCCACACTGTTCCTGAGCCAAACCCCTGCCAGGCTGCAGGCCACCACAGCCCTTGGGGTCAGAGTCATTACCCAGCCACCTTGCTGGTCTCTGCTCGTTCATGTGCAGGAATTCATCTAATTGGATTCCTGTGCAGGGGAGAGGACTTATCCCTGAGCTCGATGCAAATGCAGGAGCTGTGGGCTGTGGTTGTGGTGCAGCAGAGCTCAGAGCTTTGCTGTCATTCCAGGAGCAATAACATGTTTCCAGGTACAGTCAAGGCTTTTTTCAAAAACCAAAGTGAGGAAGCAGTAGGTTCCTTACAACTCTTTGATCACTGAACACATCAGCCACCTTATTCCAGGGTGTTATGCTTGACTGGATTTGGCTCCACCTTCCACATATCTCTCTCTTACCCTCACTGGTGAAACATATTGGGGTTTTTTGACATGGAGATTGGTGTCTCTGGTTCAGAAGGGAGCTGGGATTAGAGAAATGTTTATGGAAAAGTTCTGACCACTCCCAAGAGGTAACCATTGACAACTTTGTGCAAGCTGAGAGCCCGTACCTTCAGCAACCTGCAAACATGGCCCTTGAAGCCTTTAATATGAGGGAGTAACTTCCCATATGGAGCTGAACTTCTCAGTGTATGTGATGGAAGTGTGGATCTGAGTTGTAATGAACTGTGTGTCTAGGAGGAGCTGTGATGACCTCAGACGTTGCCTGTTTGAGGAGGAATAAAGCCATCAGAAAGTCGAAGGTCACTGCTCCATGGCCAGCACCATGCTCCAGCACCATGCTTGTGATGAGAAGCAGAGGCAGGGCCCTCTTGGCACGAGTGGTGCACGAGTCTGCACACCCATGGTCACCTTGTGTGGGCTGGGGCTTCCTCCTGTCACTGCAAACGTGCAGTTGTGTGCAGGTGATTTGGGAGTGTCCTTTTACCTGATGTTCTTACAGCAGGACTTTCCTCCTGGGGTCATATGTCCAAATTATGAACTCCAAGTAACAGTAGGATCTGTCACTGGCTGCCTGATTAATGCCAACACCTCTCTGTGGAATAAGGAGACCATTTTAAGAAGACCAAGCCTGAGACTGAGCAGGACTATCTGCTCCAATGGATTTATCATCAGATTTGCTGTCCTCAATATTACAGCCTATTTCAGTCTCCTATGAAGAGGTGCTTATGCTTTCATAACTAAACTGGTATTTTTGGAGCATGGATTGGACTAACTTAAAGGTGAATGAGACCACGGTGTATTACTATTTTTTAAAGCTGATGATTTTGGGAAAGTCTCACAGGTGGCCTTGAACTGTTCACGTTCATGGATCATGGCTTTGTGGATCTACTGTTTCTCCTAGTGCAGATCTGGTTCTTGTTCAGGCCCCATGTCACCTCAGGAAACACGACACAGATCGAAACACTCTCTGCAAAGAACAACTTCTCCAGAGGGTCCGTGGTTTTTCTGGAGCGCAGGAAACTCTTGTCTGTCTAGGACATGCTCCTGCCTTGGTCTGGTGCACTGCTGGAGCTGCCCTCCTGCTCCTCCTTCTCCTCCTCCTCCCTTCTAAAGCTGCATCAGCTGCCAGTTGGGAGCCAGGGGGTTTTTGCATGAGGGACAAGCCCTTAAAACACAAAGGGATGGTTACAGGAGTGTGGCTGAGCCACAGACTATGCATCTAGAGATAAAACTCATCACTACATCTCTGTGCTGTGGGAATCCTGTGCTGTGCCAGGTAGAGGGAAGGCAAGGCAGTGAGGATGTACTCTGCCCTGCATGAGGAGTTGGGACAGATGAATAAAGCCCTTTATGCTGCAGTTTACTCATCCAGTCATGATACCTGCTCTAGTAGCTGCTATAAAGTCAGCAGAGCCATGGAACCCCATAAAACAGTCTGGCTGCCTTGTTTATTGAGCCAACAAAGCCACAGGTTCCCAGAGAGGGAGTTCACACTGCAGAGAACAAGGTGGCACCAGCATGTAAATGACATCATCTGTCTCTGGTCACACCACACGGGGCTCCTGAGCTCTGCAGGTGAGAATATTCCTGGAGACCTGAGCCTACACACCTTCATTAAATATTTTACACAAATATTGACTTCCCCGTGCACACAAACCCACTGGAAAGAGTGTTTGTGCAAGGAGAGCTACTCTGCTACAAAATTAGTCACGCAGGCTCCCAAACACAAGGTTAGTAAATAGTTTCTCAAATAATGAACCATTTCAAGTTTCTGTGGGAAAGTGACTGTCCAGAAATGTGTGATACGTCCAAAGTAGCTGGATCTTTTTGATTAGTTTCTTTTCTCTGATTGCATCATCTGGCTGAGCCGCCAGAGCAACACGCCGACCTTCATTTCTGAGGGCATTTCACGAGACTCTGCTGCATTTGGAACAAAAAATGTGCTGTGTAAGATCCTGTTGTAGGCAATCATTTAGCTCATTTTTGCAGACATCTTCCAACATTCCCAGGGAATTAATACACAGAGACTGAGTTTCTCTGTGTGGTGCCATCAGAAACCCACACGGAGGGAGTAGCACAAGCACAGCACACACTCAGTGGGTTCAGCTGCTGCCTTCCCCAAAACAGAGAAGGGTTTGAATCTTTGTTTCTGAACTTTTTTCATTTCACCCCTGTGCAATGTAGGACAAATGTCCTTGTGCATCCTATGTGACCATTTTACAGGGAAGAGAATGGAGGAGGAGAAGCTGGATAGCTTCAGGGAGGTCTGTGAAGCCTTCGCAAGCCATTGCACTATAAAGTGATGAGGCAGATTCCCCTGTTCCCAGCTGATGGGGATCTGAGTGTGGAGCAGTCTGAGAGCCTGTGTGAGCAGGGCACAGTGAGGCTCCTGTTTGGACAGAGTGCTGCTCAGAGCTGACTCTCCATTTGGTGTCACACCAGCAGGCACCTGTGTTAGCTCGAAGGCAAGAATCACTAAATCTAAAATGTGTTATCCCTGAATGTGGAAACAGCTGCCCAGTTTTGTCATCCAGGTTCTGGGCAAGAAGGATGAGCATTGAGGACAGGCTTGGACTCTGACTCCAGCAAGTGGTGTGGGTGTTCTCTTCAGTGGATACAGTGCATGTGCATGATGAGCTCGTGGGAAAGGAATGGAAAGAGAGGATGAGCCTACAAGAAGGCTGGAGAGGGACTTTTCACAAGGGCCTGGAGTGACAGGACAATGGGGGATGACTTCCCACTGCCAGAGGGCAGGGTTAGATGGGATATTGGGAAGGAATTCCTCCCTGTGAGGGTGGGGAGGCCCTGGCACAGGTTGCCCGGAGAAGCTGAGGCTGCCCCATCCCTGGAAGTGTCCAAGGCCAGGTTGGATGGGGCTTGGAGCAGCCTGGGCTGGTGGAAGGTGTCCCTGCCCATGGCAGGGGGTGGAATGAGATGGTCATTAAAGTCCCTTCCAACCCAAACCAGTCTGTGATTTTGTTATTCTAAGATGAAAGACTGAGATTACAGGGAAAGTGAGGAAAGAGTGGGTAAGAGAAAGTGTCATGGGAAAAGAGTGGGCTGAGGTGAAATAAACAGCATGAGACTTCCCACTTTTCCTCAAATTCAATATTTTCTCCCATTGCATGGCTTAAAACTGTTGTATCTGATTTTGTGCAGGGTAGAAGAGGCCACAAAAGCAGATAATTATGAAGACAGTAAGAAGAAGGACTGTTACCAGCTTCCTATTTCACGGGAGAATATTCACTTCCTGCAGACATGGGAAGAGACACTGCAGTGCTGGGAGAAGGTGCTGCAGGTGAGCGTTACCTGGGATTGACTTTGCAGGGTCAGGGAGCAGGAACTCTGTATCAGGCTTGTACTCACAGCTGGATGTGGCCACTGCCATCCAATGTCTCCCTCCCCAAGCCAAGAATAGCTGCTCCTTTAGGTTTGTGTGATCTGGGGAACGTGTCAGGAATTGTGCCAGGAAAGGTCCCCGCCGGGGTACTCAGGTGCTGTGGGAGTTACTGTCTCTGTAGCAGTTTGCACAAAGAGCTCCCGTGGTTGGAAAGGAAAGGCTTGTGTCCTGGACAGACTCTCCAGGCCCCTCTCCAGCACAGCAAGTCTCTGAGTGCAGGAGGTGTCTCTTGCAGCCTGGGCAGGTTGTTGGCGTTGACATGGAGTGGAAGCCATCCTTTGGCATGGTGGGGAAGCCCCGTGTTGCCCTCCTCCAGATGGCAGTGAAGGATGAGGTGTTCCTGTTGGACCTGCCACGGCTCCTCGAGCAAGCTGAGCTGGAAGGGGAGAAGGAGAAGGAGAAGCTCCCCCAATTCATCCAGATGCTCTATTCAGATGCTGCCATCACTAAACTAGGTAACACACCTCTCTTCTCCCTACCCTGAGGCTTCACACAGCCTGTTTTGTCATTTTTGTCATTCCTAGATCTTCTTGGAGTTGTCGTTCTCCAAATCCACTTGCCATGGAATCAGCTTTCGTAGCCCTGGGTGTTGAGGCACTGCCAGACCAGGAAGCAGGGTGACCAGGGGAATGATAGAAATATAGAATCACAGAACCCTAGAATATCCTGAGCTGGAAGGGACCCACAAGGACCGTCCAGTCCAACCCCTGGCCCTGCACAGACACCCCAACAATCCCACCCTGTCCCTCAGAGCATTGTCCAAACTCTCCTGGAGCTCTGGCAGCCTTGGTGCTGTGCCCACTGCCCTGGGGAGCCTGGTCAGTGCCAGCCACCCTCTGGGGGAAGAACTTTTTCCTGAGATCCAACCTAAACCTCCCCTGACAGAGCTTCATGCCATTATATTTCCCCATTTCAGATCAGAGACAAGATTTCTGATTTAGCTTGCACTCTTGGACTTGGGATTATCCTAATTCCATACTAAGCTCCAACTGGCACCCTAAACCTTTTGGTTTAGGGAAGTCTGGCAGACAGAGCTTTCTGGATGTCCCTGTCCTTGCCCCAGAGCTGTCGTGCTGGACACCAGAGCTCTCTGAATTACCATACCTGGTTTTTGGAGGCTTTTGGCAGGATTTGCAAAGCCTGGATTTCAAGGACAAATTCATAATTACCTTCCCAGATTTTAAATAAGTTGATCTTAAACTCGGCATTTTTCATTCACCTCTTCTCTCCCTGGATCTGCAGGAGTGTCTCTTGGGAAGAGGAGAGATGGGAGCCAGTCTTTTTCCCTGTTTGAACAGTCTTCCCACCAGTGTTTGTGTATCTTTTGTCAGTATTTTGACTCTGAGGTAGAAGAAGCTGCAGTGCTTTAGGCATGACCTGAGTTTTCTTACCTGTGTGATTTGGGCTGTTTTTGTCTCCAGGTTATGGGATGTCTGGAGACCTCAGCAGCCTTGCAGCCACATGTTCTGCTCTGAAAGACATAGAGAAGCAACTGCATGGTGTGGTGGATCTACTCACAGTGGACAAACAAGTAAGGATGAACACATCGAGATGTGGGAAGTTGTGTCTCCTGTGTGTACAGGTGGATAACTGTACTGAATCCATAGCACTGTCTGTTTGTATCCTGGATTGGCAGGGATGCAGCTACATGTGTAAATAGACCATTTCCTGTAGTGTGTTTGATGTGTTGGGATTCTGTAAAGGAAGACAGAAGCATTTTGTTTTCATCAGCTAAAAGGTTAAAGCTTGCAATATTGACAGCTTTTTCACAGCCTTCATAAAAGCTCCATTCAGCCAGGGCAAGGTTTCTGAGCACAAGTTATACTTGAACTTAATACTAAGTTCTTGTAGGAATTCTGCTATCCCAGGACCATGCAGTATTGAAGCAGATATGATGGAGTTAATGATTTGTGCAGAACTCTAATGTTCCTTGGAGGGCTGCTGGTGGGTTCAGCACAGGAATTTCTGGTCAGCTGAAGCACAGCTGTCCCTGGGTTTGCACACAGGAGCTTTTAGCAGTCTGCAGAAGTGTTGAGCACAACCGTTTTAATGGGTAAAATGTACAGAGTGCGTTTAAGGCTGTGGGTTGGGGTGAAGCCGATCTTTGGGACTGATAGCTTAACCTGGGAAGTGCTGCAGGGGCTGACATACCTGCCAACAGCTATTGCCTCAGTTTAACCTGAGAAATGGCAGCTTCAGAAAGGGCTGCTGCCCAGGGTGGCACAGGAATGCCTTTTCTCATTGGGACAAGGAGCAGAAAGATGCTGAACTGCCACTGCTGGTCTTTTATTGAGTGGGTGCCTAGCAGCCTCCAGCACAGCTAAGCACCCAGAGCTCTCTGAGGAGCCCCAGTCCCAGCCCTGCAGCTCTGGTACAATGCTGTACAACAATGCCCTTTTTTTTCTTCCTTGGCTATGAAACAGATTTCTCTCCAGCAAGTGTGTTTGTTAAACAAATAACCTGACGCCGTTTATATCTAATGCCATCCCAGCCCTTGTCTGAGACAACGGGGTTCAATATGCCAGGCAGGAGATGGACGTGATAGAGTTGTGCCTGGCCCCACCCGCTGGAACACGAGGTGGTGGTGAAGCTGTTTTATAATCAGGTGTTTTCTGTCTGTTTCCATCAGCTGCAGAAGGGCTGCGGTGAGTGGAGGAAGGACGGCCGGAAGGTTGATGGACTGTCCCCGGAGCACAGCCACGAGGAGAGAGGGGTCAGGCAGCGGGAGAAGGGACTCAGCCTCCTGGTGCACCATGTGCTGGGGAAACCTCTGGATAAAACGGAGCAGCTGTCAAACTGGGAGAAACGGCCTCTCCGGGAGGAGCAGATCCTCTATGCAGGTCTGGTCCCTGCTCAGTGACACGGAGCTACAGGTGTCCAGGACAGGTTGTGTTTGGCTGTTCTGTCACCAGGAAGGTCATTAAGTAGCAAAGGAAGAGAATGGCTTTGCAGATTAGTTCCTGTTCAGAGGAGTCAGCACATGTTTTGTTTGTCCTTTTGCGGACATGGCTTTAATGGTTGAAGTTTAAACTGTCCAATGATTCATTATTTCCCTTATGAAGGAATTCCTGTGCTTTGCAGATTTTGTCTGATGAAACATCACCTCAGTGGAAACTCTTCTCAGTAACTGAAAGGAAGAAAGTCCACTTCCTTCTGCCTCATTTCACAGCCTTCCTGGGAAACAAACGCTGTGTTCATTTGTCACGGTGAAGCGCTTGTTAGAGTCGGGTTAGAAATGGGCAGACGTGGTGTCAGAAACTGCAGCACAGAATCAGGACTGTGGAGGGACCAGTGGAGTTTATTGCTGATTATCCCAGAGTCAGAAGTCTGGGTCTAAATCTTTTCCTGGGGCACCAAAGGACAGTCTTTACTGAAGCAAACCAGCCCTTTGTTAAATTCAACTATCCTTGAAGCTGACACAGTTCCCACAAAAGTTAATCACTAGGACTTGTCAAACTGGCTGGGAGACTCTGGCAGTTCCCGTTGCAGGGAGCAGAGCCACACAACAATGCATGTGGGCAGGTGATTGCAAACAGCTCAGTTAATGCCTTTTCAGATATTGCATCTAGTGGGGAAGTTCCCTTCCCATTGAGGGATGTGGTGAGGAACCCTGGGCAGGCTCAGGGACAATGATGAGGAGCAGGGGCTGGCTGGAGCTATCAGGTGGTGGTTGGAACAGCCACACTACAGTTTGCATTGTGTTAGAGTGGAGAGGGCAGAGCCTGTCACCTTTGGAGATCCTGCCTTGACCCTCTGTGACTGTGTTCAGTTATGAGGCTTCGTGACTCAGTCACAGAGCACAGGGTAGGACGTGAGTGAGTTGGAGCTTCACAGGTTGTTCACAGTGGCTTTTACAAAGGTGGAGGCTCTCCCTGGCATCAGGAAAGCCTCTGGTTTACTTTTGAATGGAACCAGGTGAGGCTCATATCCCCTTCCTTTCAGCCTCCGACGCGTACTGTTTGCTGGAGATCTACGAGAGGCTCTGCAGGGACCCAGAGAGCTTTGGGCTGAGCTCAGACCTGATGGAGAGTCTGGTGGGAAAACGGAGCATAAAACCCAGGGCAAAGAAGCAGCTGAATAAACAAGAAGCACTGTCACCTTCTGGACAGGTTTGTAAACATCTTCAAAGAGCTGCTTGTTGCTCAAGACCCCTGTAAATCATACCCTGCTCGTTCTCAGTCATACCGTGAGCTATGCACGGCGGGCCCATTTGCAGCCTGTTCTCAGGACTATTGCAGCAAACATCCTCCTCATCCCTCCCTCCCTGGAATGATGTGCTTTCTCCTTGGCCTGCCTGAGTTCACCTTTCCCTGCTCTTTGAGGTTCTTTTGTCTTTGCACAGTGTTGGTGCAGATCTGTGTGCAGAGTCCAGTGAGCCTTGCTGGTGGAAATCTCCTTCCACGTTTCCTCAGTGCTGTGGGCTTGGATTCTGTGACCAAGGTGTTGCATCCAAGAGGTTTAAAATTCTGACCTTCTTACTTTTTCTTTTACTAAGCTTCCACACCTTAGTTTCACACTGGGAAAGTCTCCTTAGTTGTGTCTGGAGTACAAGTGTGCAAAGTTGAAAGCAAACGATCCATCAAAAATGCCTTCCTGCTGAAGATTTGTCTCTGCCTCCCTGCACAGCACCACAATCCAGGACTGGCCTCTCCCAGTAGACTGTGTTGTGGCAGAGCCTTAAAACTCCACTGGCCATAACTTGGAGCTGTATGACTCTGCTTAAGTATCTTAGAATATGACTGGTTCCTCTCAATAATAAAATTTTGCTTTTGAAATGGAACCATCCAGTGGTTTATGCACCTTTGGAAACCTCAGCAGAAACCCCATTTTGTTTGTTATCTGAGAAGACTGACTGTAACTGTGTATCCTTCTGAGGAGCTCCAAATGTGTGCTGAGTTCCTGAAGTCCATGCCACCTCCCATGGTTGGGCTGAGATGTTACTGGCTGTATCCACCTTGTCAGGAGGGTGTAGAAGTGCAGCATCCCCTTAGTCCTCATCAGGCAGTAAAACATGGAGCTGCTCAGTAGCTCCCTAAGCACTCTGTTCATGGGAATGTTGTGTTACAGCAGAGCTGACTGGCTGCTGCAGAGATGGGAAAAGTGAGTACTTCAGGCTTGAATTACCTTGGGAACCCACGGGTCATCTTTGTGTTCTGTACAGTCAGATTCATGAACTGAGAGGCAGTTGGTAAAACCTGGACTGGGACGCCAAGAAAAGCAGACTTCTCCTGACTCTGCATCCTACAGGACTCCAGACCCTCTTTCCCAGTGTTTCCTGGTCCACTATCTGAAGTGGGGCTAATGACTCTATTCTCCTTTATAAAGCTTTTTGCTCTCTGCTGGCATGAAACGTGAGAAAAAAGCTACATATGACAGTGCTGGCCACTGCATAAACACTGGTGAGGGCCAGCTGCTGCTCCTGCACATCTGTTTGAGCAGCAGCAGCAGCCAGGGTTAGTGTCTTCCAACTACCTCGGCACTGAGGGGCAGCTCGATCCCTTGTCACAGCCCTCTGATGTCCCAGCTGCATCCACCAGGGTCCTGCAGGAGCTGGTGACAGTGCAGTCTGCCCAGTGCTGCAGAGCCCTGAGGTCGTGGACCAGCTTCTGGGAGGTGCAGCCTCCCACCAGTGGAGCTCCTGGATCTGAGCTGGTTCCCAGGGTCAGCCCAGGTGGAGCTGCATGTTGTGCCACAGCATTCCCAGCCTTGAGCCAGCTCCTGCAGGGCTAATCTGCAGTGCTGACTCCCTGCATAGGTGCTGGCTGTGTCCTTCAGTCATCCCAGCTGATTCAAGTTCCTGGAGTCAAAAGCTGAACATTGGAAGTTCCTTAATAACTTCCCTTCTCCATGAATTTAGCTATTGTACTTCTGGGAGCCTCCAAGCGCTGAAGTCCTCCAAGTGCAGGAACTCCCCCAGCAGCAGATATTCGAAATAAAACAAACAGAATTTAGGCACTGCCTATTTTTAACCTTCCAAAGATAACAGAGCTGACGTGGTTGCTTTGTCTACCTGTTTCTCCCTCTGTCTGTGTGATCCCCTTCCCAAATCATAGCTTTGGCACATGTTTATTAGTTGCACACTAATTCCGTAGGGGAACAGCAGCCTTGACGATGTTTCTGTGACTTCATGAAGGTGGATGTCTGTGTAGAACACCGAAGGCCAGGTTGGCATTTCTCCAGGGAAAGGCTGCAGCTCCCTGGATCGGGTGGCCAGCTGGCCAGCGAGACAATGACTAATTCAGAATTAGCCCCATCATGTGCTGCCTCCTACCCACATGGCAGTGGGCAGTGTGGAAAGAGGGAAGGAGGATCTAGCGGTGTTGCAGAGCGTGGTGTGATACAGGTGGAAGGAGACAGTTGGATTTGTTGCGGTGGGTTAATGCAGGGACGTAAAACACGAAAGTACTGGAAATCAGCCTTCTGCTGTTTATGGGTCTCTTGCCTTTCTCTAGCAATGCCAAGGATCCCAGATGGAGACCTCCCGTGCCCCTGCCCCTGTGTCCCCCAGGGAGTTCAGCGTGGTCTGTGACAACATGCTGCAGGGCCTCGGGCGCTACCTGCGCTGCCTGGGTGTGGATGTCCGGATGCTGGACAACGAGGATGACCACAGGAAAGCTGCTGAGGTGAGTCGGGCGCACACATGTGCGTGTTCACAGCTGCCACTGTGCTCCCTGGGGATGGCTGCTGCCTGCTCTGGAGCTGCACTGGCTGTCACTCTGCCCAACAGGCAGTGGGTGCAGGAACTGCCCTGCAGGCGCCTCCTCCTGTGCCTGTGCTGGGTCCCAGCTCTCTGGGTCAGTCTGAGAAGCTGTGCCACCTGGCAGCTGGTGACAGCTGGTCCCTGCAGTGGTGTGTGGGCTTGGTTCTCTGCTTCCAGTAGAGAGGTGAGCAGAGACTGCTGTGATCTCACTCTTATTTATGTCTGTTTGTGTCATCGACAGCCAGAGCAGTTGAAGTCACGAGAAGAACACAAGCAGAGTGTAAAGATCATAGAATCACAGAATGGTTTGGATTGGGAGGGACCTTAAAGATCATCTCATTCCAGCCCCCCAAAGATGTGACCAAGTGTCTTTGGGGAGGCTGTGTGTTTGCAACAAGACAAAAGTCACTGAAAGGAACCCAAAAATCACTTAGATTTCTAATGGATTCCAGTCTGGGCTTACAGGAAAGGTAATTGTTTGCCTTGTGTCCAGGTCCTTGTGTCTAGTTGGGCAGAACCATAATCCAAAGATGGCTGTTCATTATGGAAGGGAAAATGTCCATAATCAATGGCCATGTAATGTCCTGGCTGGCCACCACCTTGTGAGGTGACTCAAAGGTGATCAGCCACAACTTGCTATGACATAATTGGAAAAGGAAGAGTCTCTAACATACATGGGGACAGTGAACATTGATTTGGGCTCCCATAAGAACTCTGATCCTCTACCTCCCAGAGGAGAGACATGTCCTGCTTCATTTCAGACATATTTCTGCTATGCCAGAACTGGAGATATCCAGCCCACACAGTGTGTGCTACCAAATGTGCGCGAATCACCCGGCTTGGTGTGCAGGATGTTTCCTCTTCAGATGTCTGCTTGGCCTGAGTCCGGGGCAGGCTCTAACTTCTGCAGAAATAATTAATATCTCCTCCCTGCCAAACTTGCACAAGTCATTTAAACAAACTAGTTCTCACTGCTTCCCCCAGAGCCCCGTCTCCGCTTCTCATCCTGATACCTTATCGTGCCACGGACAGGATGTTTGACATTGCTTTCTCTATGGTGACCGGACAAACATCCTTTCACTATCAAAAGCCCTTGGAGTGTTACTGTATTGCAGAGCCTTTGATCTGGGCTTGGATAATCAAAGATAAAAATAGACTCCTCCCACCCTGCTTTATATCTGGCTTGTCCTGATTTAATCAAAGTTGAATGTTGACCATCCTACGCCCAAAAACTTGGAAATGGTATTGCAAAGGCCAGGAGGGGGTTTGAATCCAGGTCACTGAATACAAGACAGACAGTTTGGGTGTTGCCCCAGCACAATCTCAAACTAGTGTCACTAGGAATACATAAGTGTGTACAGAGTTAGTGTTTGTTCTTCATTAAAGTCTTTTTGCTCAAATGATTTATCAGTCATATTACACATCTCCTTGTGCCAAGAACTCCTGCATCACCTGGCATTTGCTCTGTATTGTTCTCATTCCTGTTGCTTGTTAAAGTGGCTTCAAGTATTGATAGGCAGGTAGGTCTGGTCCTTCACCCTCTGTTATTTGGGATCAAGCTTAAAAGCCTGTGAACTTCATCAACTGTGCTTGGGCAGCTCTGGAATTGATTTATGTTTTGTTTTAGACTAGTGCACGTGGCAGGAATTGGTTTGAGAACCCCCATTCCCAGGAGGTCCCTGTTCCATGGACATGAAGTCTGTGCCCTCTGTTCTGCTTTATGTTGTGCTGTTGTTATTGGCTAAGTGTTTTATCTTGGACATCAGTTGTCATGGCGAGTTTATTGTGCCAGATCTGCAATCTCAGATGTGCAGGCATGTGAGAGCAGGACCTCTGACAGCACAAGCCACTGGATCCCCCCTGATTGTCCATATGTAGTGGTGGCAGTGCTGGGCTAACAGCTGGACTCAATGATCTTAGAGGTCTTTCCCAACCTTAATGATTCTGTGATTCTATGGTTCTGTTTATCTCCTGTGAGGTGCCACCAGCTTGCAGTCTGTGATTTAGTGGTGCTATTTAATCAGGATTTGACTGGAGAAGCAACTGATTAAAGTTACCTGTCATAAGCACAGACACAGAAAATCTTTAAAAATGGAAAAATAGGAGAAACTCATACTGAAAATGTCTGTGGTGAAATCTGTTCTTGTGTGAAAGGCAAAGAGCTCACAGGCCATCCTTACAGAAACATTTTAACCTCTGTCCATGAGCACCAGCCTCTTGGGGAAGGGCAGTACAGGTGTCCTTTCCCAAGCCCTCTTATCCAGTGCTGTTTTTACCGCTAACTTACCTGCTGTAGCACTTGCACACACATTTGGCACAGCAGGAATGCAGCTGGGGGATGAAATTTGTTCCAGATGTGCTGGATGAGCTCCTTTACCTGACATTAGCAGCGTGTACATTGAGAGATGTGATCCAGCACATGCTTTTCCTGGCACATTCCTGCCTGGCAGCACTGCTCCGGTCCTGCACCTTGGGTAGGTCCTTCTGCAGGACTTTGGGCAGTGGCCCAGATTGGCCCAAGCCTGGCTCCCTGCTGTGTGGCCTCTCTGAAGAAGGGCTGTGTGCATCCAGCCATTCCTCCCCAGGACTCTGACTCCAGCCCAGGGTGATCCCTCAGGTAAAGAATGCAGAGATTCCATCTCTGTGATGCAGCACATTCGGGGGGTGCAGGTGCCATGTTTTGGTGAGCCACCCTTTGCCGTTGCATTTATTTCATAAGCAACATGTTATTTCCAATTAATACAAGATTCTTTACTTAAATCATGTCCTGTGCCTGTAAGGGTTCCTACCCAGGTCTTCCATGCCCCATCCCTGGGAAACATTTCTGGTCAGATTGGAGGGAGGCTCTGAGCAAACTGATCCAGTTGAAGGTGTCCCTGCTTACTGAAGGGGAGTTGAAATGAGGTGACCTTTAAAAGATCCCTTCCAACCCAAACTATTTTATGATTCCAGATTGTCTTCTGCAAACTTCTCCTTTCAGAGAATCTTAAACCTATCTTTTGAATTTTCGAGATGGATAATTGGAAGAAGATAGGAAAGTTTCAGTGGGTGTTCCTCTTTTCTCTGCAATTTTGTAGATCAGACAGATGCTTCTCATACTGAACCTAAAGGATCACCCATCAGCCTGAAGTGACTACAGTAGATCCTGCAATGTGCGTCAGGAGTAGAGAAGAGGTTTTTAAGAAAATGTTGGTAGTCTCTTAGGTTTCTAAGAGACTCAGTGGAATCTCAAAGCTGCTTCAGTTGAGTTGAGGGTTGGTTTGTTTTATTTTTTTAATGGACTTTGCTCTTGGTCTTCAAAATCATCCTCATCTCTAAGAATACTTTGACGCTAAGGCAAACCTGGCACCTTTTGAAGTGTGATAATAACCAGAAGGCAGGTAAAACTGGCTTCCTGCAGCTCCCATGCTGTCAAAGGTTCCCTTACAAGGTTACACCTACCCCCCGAAACTCCAGGTGAACCAGCGAGTTGGAGAGGAGGGTCAGGCTGGATGATCTCAGGAGCCAGATAGAGCACTGTGCACCCAGATCTAAATTGCCCTGGACTGATTTGGAGCCAGGGAACACAAAGGGGACTTTAATACTGCAGTGAGCAGAGGTTCACATAATGGGGGAATCTAATCTCAGACAAGAGATTAGATTGTCTCAGCTTTGAAAGCTTTTTCCATATTTTTGATGTAGATGACATTCTTCAGGTTTGCTGGTGTTTTTACTGCACAGACTGTCAGGGAGCTAAATTCACAGAGGGCAGATGAAGGCCTGTGTTGCTTTTAAGATCAAGACTTGGCTTGTGATGTTTGGTCAGCAGGAGGAGGAGGTGTTTTGTCGGAGACCTTGATACCAACAAGTCTGCATTAAGAAACAAAACTGGGTGGATGGTTTTGGTGTGATACTTAAGGCCACATTACAAAACCATGCGATAACTCATGGTTATTGCATAGTTTTCAGGAATGCTGAAGAGAAGTTTAGGGTTGCAGTATCAGTGGGGCTGGACTGAGGGTGCTCAGAGCTGTTGAACTCTTGGTTTACTGTCTGTTTTAAAGGAGCCTGGGATAACCCTCCCTCGAGGGTTGGACTGAGTTTTGTGATCCACTTCTCTGGTAGATCCTTGTCTGAGCGCTTTCCCACCACATCCTGGGGCAGACACTTTCTGTCCACTCCCTCTTCATCTGAACTGGGACCTTGCTGGCCCAGGCTCAGGATCACTGCAAAGGGGTCACAGCTTTTCCTCGACTGCAATTTGCTTCTTAAAGAGCATGTGGCATTGCCCAGCATGTGTCTTGCACAGACTTGGCAAAGTTTAACTTACAAATCCAGAGCCTTGTGCTGCTGTTTCTTGAAACCTCTTTTGGCCTTACTTCAGGATCCTTCAGGTTGTCACAAATCATCCTGGTGCTGGGTTTGAAGCAAAGGGGCTCTCTGCCCTCTCTCCTCAGTCATTGCCTTTTCAGGTCTCTTTGACAGGAATTCCTTTGGGTTCATTCATCTCTGCAGGATGGAAGTTGGCTAAACAGGCAGGCACATTAAGGGCTAAACAGTAATACCAAGGAAGTGCTTTCTATCCAGAAGGTCTGAGCCTTTTTCAGAGGAAGTTGATGTTATCTTTGTAATAGATTGTGAAACTGAGGCCAATGCCCTCTCTGCAGCACTTGGGCTGGAGCACAGGTCCCTGACACCCACTCCAAAATGCTGCCCTGGACCCTCCTTTCCTCTTGTTTGGATCACTGACCACACATCTCTCGATGGTCCCAGCACTACCTTCCCTACTGCTTTTGGAGAAATAGAAGGAATTGTGCCTCTTTGGTCCCAGTCAGATGTGTGCTGTCACATGACTTTTCTGACTCTGCATGCTTCTCCCAGTCCCTGTTCCAGAGGCAGAAAAACATGCTCCAAGAGTTATTGCTTTTCTCCTTTTTATTTGATGTTCTTTGCCTGTCTCTGCAGAGCCGTTCAGATAAGGGGATTTATCAAGCTTGAACTAATTAACCCTGGATGCAGGAAGTCAGAATGGAGTGTTCCAGCTCTGAAATCCTCAGCCTTACCCTGAAGCCCACTTGGGTCTGAAGGAGTTTCACATCTCTTTTCCCTTGCTGGCAGATCGCTGTGGTGAACTTCTGCTGTTGCCTTACCAGACTTCTCTCAATAATGTGCTATGAGGATGCTGTCTTGGCTGCTCTGTACCCAAACTGTGTGAAGCAGGATTGCATGGGGTGCCTCTGGATGGCATGGGGTGCCTCTGCCGCTCACCTTCGAGGTTCCTGTTCTTAAAGATTTTTTCCTTCATCAAGAGAGAGAGTTGATTTTGAAAGAAATCCAGTAATTCTACCTGTAGGAAGGTGCTTCAGAAGTTGTTACCAATTGCTTTGTCAGTGCAGAACGGGCAGCCAAAGAGTGACTTCACAAAAAAAGGAGGGAAGCAGCTACCTAAAAGATCAAGAAGGAAAAAAAGAAAAAAAAGCGTTGCTTAGCTGCCTGCATGGGACCTTCAGAGCCTTCTCCCCCTTGTTTCATGTTGCCATAGAACCAGTGGGTCTTAAAAAAATGTCTGTCCAAGACAGAGTTTAAAAGTCATGGTTGGGTTTTCTGCTGTTCCCTGGCTATGCTTGGTGGTGTCATCTGTGTGGAAAGTGCAGCAGGACTTTGATCCCAAATGTGTCCTCCTGCCAAGGCTAGAGAGTGATCCAGAGAGAGCTGCCGAACTCTGAACCAGATGAGAGACCTCCACGACATACATATGGAATCAGTGAAAAACATGAGGGCTTCCAGCAGAATCCAAACCAGAGAAGAAAGATAACCTCATGCCTACCTCAAAGCACTGATTTCTTGTTAACAGGATCAGAGCTGAGTCCTGGTTCACATGGGAATCCTTTGGAATCCTCCTGTCACCAATGGCCATGAAGCTCTTTCCCTCCTACAGGAGGGGGAGGGGGAGGGAGGGAGGAATGTCATTCAGTCATAAGGTCAGTCACACTTCCATCCTTGCAGCTCCAGATGTAGTGTCTCCTTTTGGCACCAACCCATTTGCAGTGTCTCTGGCTCTGTGGGAAGGTCAGCAGTGCGGGTGATGAGCCCCCTGGTAATTCAGTGCAGACCTTCCACTTGAAGGACCAGATCTCTGATAAAAGCTCGGGACTACAAGTTGGGATGTGATAAACTCTAAGGGAGATATTCCTCGAAGCCCAGAAAGGTGCATAATTCCTGTGTGTTGGGTTGCTGGGACAATAACACCCTCTTTCTTTTAGGAGCATTTTCTGTTAATGATATGAAGTTTGCAGACACATTTCATGGTACATTTTTTTGCTGTAATGACCTGCTTAGGCTAGTTTTTCCTTTCTGCCCTGTGTAGCAGAAGTGTTTGCTTCTTTGTAACCCAGACTGAGGAAATCGAAATAGTCTGGGCTAAGGGAAAAATATAAAAGATTGGTTTTGGATAGAATTGTTTCAAGGTGGGATGGTTCCCTGGGCCATCTGCAGTGCAGATGCAGCTTGTTCCAGCACATGAGAGACATGGCAGGGATTGGCAGGGAGGGGACGTGGGATGGATGAGCCATACCTTGAGCTGCTATGGCTCTCAAGAGCTCTGGGCCAGGTGTGGGCTGACACCGAAGAGAAACACTCAGGATCTCCAGTTCACCTTCTCTCTTGTGGCTGCAAGTAAAGCTTGAACACAGTGTAACTTGAGCCCCTGTTCATTTGGATTTTTACTGTTTTTTCCAGATTGCCCGACAGGAAGGAAGAGTCATTTTAACCTCTGGACTCCCATATCAGACTGTAAGTGTTCCGAGCTGCTGCCGTGTTTCTGGCATTGTATCACTGCGTGGTCTGGGGTGTGCAGGGGAGAGAAGAGGAAAAGTCACATGTGAATGCAACAGCTGGCTTGGCTTTTTCATGTTTTCTGCACTAAAAGCTATGTTAAGGGTCTTGAGAGGTTTGCTGTTCTCAACTGCCAGAGCTTGGGGTGAAATATTCTTTTATGCTTATTCTCAGTCCTGCATCAGTGGGGAGAGCAATTGCTCTCTGTCGGGGGCAGCTATGGAAGTCAAGCCAAGCAATCCAGAACAAAATGTTTTTGTTTGACCTCACTGGCAGGTGAAAGGCAGCTCCATTCCTGTGCTTTTTATCCCAGAGATTCTTGTTTACTGACTGGCTCCACACTGACAGTTTCAACACTTAAAGACATTTCTTCAGGCTTGGAAGGCAGAGATTGGAAGTCCCCGAGGGTCCTGATGGAAACTGTAGAGGTTTTGTGTTCCTATAGATAAACAAAAAAGTCAAAGAAAACCCAACCTTACCCTCAACACCAGCTGTTCAGAGCCCTTCACAGACAGTGTTGGTGGGGATCTGCTGAACCTGCCAAGTCAGTGGTTGCAATGTTGTAATGACCTGCTCCAGGTAGCAATTTTTTACTGCCCAAAAATTCATTTGGAAGAGGGAAACTGTTCTGGATGAGCCAGAGTTCTGTTCACATGAGCCAGAGTGCAGGACTTCTCTGTCACAAACTGTCAGTACAAAAACTCCCAACTACTCAGTCAGCCAGCTGGAGTATTTGCAGAATATGGGTTGATGATTTCCTGTGTCATAGCTGAGTGTGGAAGAAAACTCCCCCCCACGATGAGACATGGAGGCAAGTGCAGTTGTGCCACACTGCAGGTTCTTCATCCAGACTGTGGTTCCTTGAGCCTACAGCTGATGTTATAAATAATTCAGCATCCAGCATAATCTTGTTTGGCAAAGCTTAAACTTCAAAGTTCTGTGTAGGAATTGTAGAAGGAAAATAACTATTTCCAGTGTACAGTACTGACCTGGGAAATGTCTGGGTCCCTTTGTTCCCTTGCCTTTGGATGTCCTCTGCAAGGACAGGATGGCTCTGCCAGGCTCCTTTACTGGTGTGCAGCTATCCCACCTTGTGAGTACTTAGCATGGTCATAAAAATATGTCTGGAACTTCCCAGTGCTTGTTCCCAGATGCAGACTTCTCTTCTAAATGTGGAACAAACATTGAGGGACTGTCCACGTCAACCCCTTCAAATTTTTTGACCATAAGGGAACTTAAACATTCTGTGAAGCAGAAGGGTTGGAGGGGTCATTGGACACCATTTCCATCCTCGTGCTTTGGCACACTGATCTGGCCAGATTTCATCTGATAGCTGGGATTTAATTCAGTTTCCTCTTGCTACCCCTGTTAGCACCACTGCACCAACTTATAAACTGACAGGATTTGCCATCTTCTGTAGAAGAGAATCATGGAATCATTAAGGTTGGAAAACACCTTTAAGATCATCAAGTCCAACTGTTAACCCAGCACCACCACCAAGGCCACCGCTAACCTGTGTCCTCAAGTACCCCATCCACATGTTTTTTGAATCCCTCCAGGGATGGGGACTCCATCACTGTCCCGGGCAGCCTGTGCCAGGGCTGGACAACCTTTTCAGTGAAGAAACTTTCCCTAATATCCAACCTAAATGTCCCCTGGCACAATTTGAGGTCATTTCCTCTTGTTACCTGGGAGCAGAGCCTGACCCTGACCTGGATCCAACCTCCTGTCAAGGAGTTGTAGAGAGCGAGAAGGTTCCCCCTGAGCCTCCTTTTCTTCAAGCTAAATCATATTTCATGTTTATAAAATACTGCAGTGCTTCAGGAGTCAGAGCTACTGCAGCAGTGACTGACTGTTAAATTACCAACTGTGCTGGTTAGATCAAAATTCAGACTGTAAAGACATACTAACTCCAAACATTATTTGTAATTCAAACCAAACCAAGTGTATCAGGAAAATCCCCACATGTGCCTTACTGAGTGTCTTTTTGGTTTGAAGCTGCAGTCCCAGGTGGGAGAAGGAAGGTGTTTCTCTGTGAACTGCTCAGAAAAGGCGAAAGAACAGGCCCTGCAGGTTCTGAAGCACTTCAACGTCCAGGTGTCCCTGAGCGATATCTTCAGCCGCTGCCAGGTAGGACGAGGCTGGTTTGAGTCCCGGGGCCCTCTCACTCGCTGTTCCCTGCACAGCAGGCGCTTCTTCGGTATTTTGGGCCTTGCACTCAGTGTGTTCCTGGTTCCCAAGAGTTCTGCTTCAACTTTGGCAGCCCCTTGCAAAGCCCTGAGGAGTTCTGAGTGCGCTCACGTCCCTCAGAGTGGTGATGGCTCAGTCATGGCAGCAGAGGCTCTGAATCTGCAGCTTTGCTAGAAACTCGCCTGTTCTTCTGATTTTTGGTACTTGGCATGTGCTTTGGCATCGACTGTCATGGTTATAGTCTCTTTGTTGCTGTGTTCTCTGTCTAGGACACATGCTGTTTTAATTATGAACTGCGTTTAATTATGTCTCTGTGATTCTGATAACACTTAATTACTTTAATAGGAGGATTTTTTCATAGGACTTCTTTTTCTTTCAGAAGCTATTAGGTTAATTCATGTCCATGCTAGTTGATGACTCTAGATTGTGTTTGGCACTGTGTATCTGTGGATTGTTGTTAAGAATAAATTTTAATTGTGTTAGCTCAAATCACCATCTCTTCCAATTTCACTCTTATATTTGTTACAGCAACACGCTGAAACCTATCCCTCCAAAAACTGTAATATAAACCAACGGGCAACTCCAGCATCTCTCATCTTATCAGTGTTTAAAGAGAGAAAAAGAAGAAACTGGAAATTGGCTAGAAAAGGAGCTTTCTCTTAGGGATAAACAAGCCCTTGAGTCTGGCTCAATGCCTTGTGGTTGAGCTCCGGGGTCTCCTGGCCCAGTGGAGCTGCACAAGCAGTGTAGGAGCAGCACTGACTCCTGAGCAGACACACCAGAGAGCGTGTCCTAGACCTCTGCTTATATCTGCTGTTCGATGTTGAAACTGGATCTGTAACTTAGAGAGGAAATGAGGGTTGTCCAGCTGGGCAGGTTGCTGTGAGAGGAGGCTGACGGAACACCCTGCAGGTCGGATCGACAGAATATGGGTCGATCTTACTGCAGGATAAATGTACATACTCAGATATAGCATACTGCCTTCAATCCTGTGGTTTTATTGTCCCAGAGCAGATTGCAGTTGTTATACATATTTGTATTTACAGTGGCACACTGTAAAAATCTTGGCGATTTTAAACAAAACTTTAAAAAACCTCGTGGATTCTCCGATTCCCTGACATCCCATAAAATAGCAGTGTTCCTCCTGATGGTTGTTGAAATACCACAAGAATCAGCACACACACACAAAACCATGCTGCAGGAAACCCTGTACTCTCTGTAATAAATGCACAAGACTGTGCAGCAGCCGATGGAAAACTGACCCCTCTCCAGCAGGATCTGGGGTCTGGAACTGGTTAACTCTATGGGTTTAGTACATGCTGTCTTGGTTTACAATATAAATAGGGGTAATCAATCTGGCTAGGAATATATACTAACTGTTCTCTTACTTCCAGGAGAAATGCCTTCCCTGTAAATTGTGGTGGTGGAACAGCTGCATGTTTTATACCCCTCGGCATGGGAAGATGCTGATTTGTCAAACCTCTCCATGTTCTGAATCATGTATTTACCTACATTCAAGGCTTTTAGAGCTTATTTTGTTCCACTGTCCTCTGCAGACAGCACAAGTCTGGCTGATAACGTTACTGATGCTCTGGAGGAGAACCCAAGCTCTTCCAGCTGCACGTGCCCAGGCACTGCAATGCTCTGTGGACTGTGTGTGAGGGGGGCTGTGGGCAGCACATGGAAGTGGATCATCCTCCGGCACTGCGCAATATTGACAGCCTCGTCAAAAATGGCGGATTTCTGCCTTGAAGAGGGTGCTCTGGGGCCTCAGTGGCCAACAGAGACCTCAGCAGTTCTTTTGTATGTTCTTTCTAAAACATCCTCATTCTCTGCAAACCTAATTGGACTTAATTAGAATGGAGTCTGGATGCTGAAACTGCTGAGCTGTGCCTGCCAGCCTGCCCGTGCTGCTCTGGGGCCACGTTACGGACCCCAGGGCTCCCAAACTGCCCCGAGCCCTGCCCCCTCCTTGCAGAGGGGTTTTGGCTGTCCCTGAAGTGGGGAGCAGGTTGGGCATATGAGCGGAGCTCTAGAAACAACTGAGTGCTGCTGTGTCCATGCTAGGCAGAAGGAAGAGGATGGGGAATACTGATCCATAACATGGGCCACTCTCCTCCCTTGTCTCCGTAGAGCTGGTCCGCCAGTGCAGGGGTGGGTTATGGACACCATCAACCATCACAGATAAGCGTTCGCTCTGTGTCACAGGAAGCAATGTGGCATCCTGCCTGCCTCCCTCTGTCTCATAGAGCAAGGGCTTGTTTTGTCTCCTGGGCTTCTGTTCTGTAAATGATTGGAGTAAATATGTCAGCAAATATTGTTGTCGTAACAATTAATGCGTGTAGTGCAGAGCCCACGGTAAAAATAGGTTCCAATTCAATGTTGTACCCAAGATTGCTGGAAAATATGTTTCCTCTGTCATCTCCCTCAGCAGGGACGGAGGGGCTCACTTTTGCAGATGTAAAGAATGGGATTGCTTTGTCACCCTGCCAAAATACTGATGGTTTTTTCTGTTAAAACAATGGCCAATACTGGTTACTTCTGTCTGATTTAGAGCAGCAAGTGCCCAGGGAATGTCACCCAGGGGCTTCTCAGCGTTTTGTTCCCTCTCGAGCTGGGCTTTGGCTTGGTTGCTCCAGTTAAAGGCTCCAGGAGTGGGGACTACAGCCAAAGGTGTCAGTGATGGCACAGGAATGGCCTTCTCTTTCCATGCATCTCTCAAGTGCTGTGTTGTAAGGACTTGGTGATAGTCATGGAGAAACCACCCCTGCACAGCAGCTGTAGCCAGGCCTGGTGCTGCCTTTGGCGAGGAATGTTTTAGGGGGGCTGAGTAAAAATAAGATTAATTCTGTCTTTTGGTGACATGCAAAAAATCCCCTGAGAAGTTCTACATTTCACAGCCTTAAAATATTTGAAACCCATTCCCTCTATTTGAAATGCAAATGTCCTGTGCCTGTCACCTCTGCACACATTTGAATATCTTGTATGCAAGTATCTTGTATTTCAGATATCCGAAAGTACCTCCTTCAGGAAGGGGCGATGTGAAATGATGCTTGGGGTGTTCTGACATGATCAGGTCAGAACAATGAGCCCTTACAGTAGTCAGGAACGTCTCTGTAGAGTTGTCAGGGTCTGTTGTGGGCAGCCTTAGGGCCAGCTCACAGCCTGGCTCACGTGGGAGGCCAGTGATCCTCTGCTCTCCACAGCTTGGAGGGAGTTCTAACACAGAAGTAGCATTTAAAAAAGAAAGAAATACCAAAACTTGCTAAGGAAGGTGGCTGCTGGGTGGCTGCAGTCATGGCTATGGGCAGCTGACAGCTGGGTCATTTCACAGTGGGAACTTTGGCTCCTTCCCCAGGTCCCTCCATTCATGGAGGTTGTTGTCTCCCATCCCTCCTGGTGCTGCAGGTGGGATGTCCCTGCTTGGGGACATCCTGCTGTGACACTTGGGTATGACCTGTCAGGACAGTAGGAGGACATTCCAGTCTCATAAAGAAACTCTTGAAAACAGACGTGTTTTGGCAGATATTACCTGGATGAGTGGTGCGGCTTTTGCCATCCGGCTTTTCCGTGCTGTCTGATTGAAAGTCCACCCAAAGCAGGTGTGGGCTGTATCTATGGACCTGCCAGTGCCTCATCACTGACTGCTTGGTGAGCCCGAGGTCTCAGGACATTTTACTCTCCGTGGCTGGTGTGCAGTGTCTGGCCCTACCAAGTTCTTGTCAGTGACAAAACACTTGTGTGGAAGCAGATCAATGGAGGTGCAGGGCTGGCAGTGCCACTTCTCACACACTAACAGGGTGAAATCACAGTTTGAATGGTGATAAACTGAGGAGATAAACACTGCAAGTTGTTAGCTTTAAATCTTTATATCACAATGGTTTGAAGGGAAAACAGCGTGTTCAGTGTTCTATGGGCTCGCTGAGAAATTCCTTCTGTTCTGGAAGAATCTTGTGGTTAAAGGATTCTAACTCTGCTGTAAAACCGTCACTGGTGTGAGGCTCTGCAACCACATTTGGAGCCAGGAAAGCCTGTCTGTCCGCAGAAAAGCTGCCTTTCCTCAGAAGTGAAGCTGCTGCTCAGCTCAGTTCTGAGTCCAAAGCTCTGCTGGGGGACCCGGGTCCTGCAGGGTGGCTATGCCACCCCCCACCTCCCCTGGGCCTCTCTTTCCTTTCCCACCCTCTGTTTGACTTGACCCTTTAGTCTTTAAGCTGACCAGGGCAGGGACCCTGCTTGAACAATACCTAACACAATGGGAGCCTGATCCCAGGTGAGGTTTCAAGGCTTTCCTGCAAGTAAAAACGATTGCAATTATATCCCCTGCAAAAATAAATGTGTGGGGAAAAAAAGATCTCAGACTCCAGCTGCAGTTTGTGCATCTGAACAGCTCTGCATTGATGGTGGGATTATCTGCAAATTCAAATAGGTTGTCTCTTTCACTTCACTGAATTCTCTGATCCTAAATAAGCAAATTACATCACCTATTCTGATGTCCTGTTTAACTTATGACCTCAGCCTGAGTGCTGCAGGATGTGAGAGATAGCTGCTCGATTTCATTGTCTGGAGATCTGATATATTTTTCTCCTTTTTTGCCCTCCCCTTCGCTGCTCTTTCAGTTTCCAAACCACTCACCCCAGCCTTTACAAAGGTGTTAGCAAGGGATTAGGAGTAGGCGGGGAAGAGGGGGAAGGAAGAGAGGAAACCACCTTTTTTTTTTTTTTAAATTAGGTGCAAAAGCATTCTGACAGTTGCAGCAAATGTTTCTGGGATTTTGTGGTTGAGGTAACAAATTTCGTTGCTGCAAAGCTCATCATGTGCAAGCTGATTTACGCAGAGGGAGCCTGGGATGGAGCAATCCATTTAGCAGGGACAAAGAAAAAGGCCTTATGATGAGATGGAAACCCTGTGCTTGGGGCACTTTGCGAGAACCTTTGAAGCCA